TAAAATAATAAGGAATTTCTTAGAATTCAAGATTCGTCTATCCCACGATTTCGCTTTACTCGCCTTCCCCAAGGAAATATGACGATTAAGCGTAACGCTAATGTTCCTTCAGCAAATACAAGAAATATCGAATTGCGCCAACAATAGGAATTAGTTCACGACCTGGTCTAACAATTCGCTATCTCTCCTCGTGATCCTGCCTATAATGTAGACGGAGATGGAGAATCGGATTAGGCTATCGACGTTGGTTTAAACGAGTCTCAGCAGGGTCGAGATGTAGAAGGGTCAGAGGGAATTACAGAGGTCGATCTTCGTTTTTTAACTTAAAATTCTTCTTATCCGCAATTTCATCTCACTCGTCGTTTCCACACCGTCCATGGTGTCTGTGGCTGTCTAATAATAATCCAATTACCTTATCAATTTATGCAAACTACTTCTCTAAAACATACGTGAGATTTGCGCGGGAATGAAGAGAACTTTGTCCAGATTGTCACATTCCTCACCAGAGCAGATATTCCCTCACTTTGCTGTTGCAATAAAATATAAAATTCCCTTTTTTTATTATTAAAATGCAACTGCATTGTCCAATTTAACGATGCGCTAAATTTGCGTCTTTCTTTCTTTATTTTTTTTTTTTTTCTTTTTAACACAGACGACGCGTTGTTCCATTAAAATTGCGAAACGAACCGTTCCCGCCCCTTTTCCCTTTTTTCAACCGAGCTCTTTTCTTTCGTCTCGGTGAAACCCGGAGGAACACGAGTGCACTTTCTTGCGCTCACTTCGCGGTGTCAATCCAGCTGCCGATTTCCATTCCGCGCCGCAATAAATTCATGCTTCTCACGGATCCGTCTGCAAATAGCAATTCCGATACCGATACCGATACCGGCGGAGACGACGACATTGGCCAAAAGGACTTGCGAAAAGTACTCGCGGGCACTTTATATGTCAAAGACGTTTGCCGGCGAAACGTAAATTTTTCCATAAATTCTTCTCGTGCGGCGCGTGCGTATGTGTATGTGCGTATGATGTGTGTGTGTGTGTGTGTTGGGGGGGGGGGGGTCGCTGAGGAGAAACCGGGTTACCACGGCAACGGGAAACGACCATTGT